TAATGTATCGATAATGTAAAAAGAGACCATGAATAAGAATATATTACATTATGTTAATGTATCAAGGACATTCTCTGAATAAAGGGATGTATAAGCTTTTTGCAATTTCTCTGTCATCAATTAATAAACAGCAATTTCTTTTGTTAATTCTCTGTTACTGTTTACGACAACTCTTTCTTGTATCAAAACCGCACTCTTGATTTCACACGATAAATCTTTTGGAATTGTTTAACCTTTCGTCAAAACTCGCGATCAGTGATAGATCGAATTAAGTTTAGTTCATCACGTCCTTTGATGTCGGTGTAACTCTCTTCAAAATTCTCGAAAAGTGCCATTAGATATGTTGAATGTTTATTTTCCTGAGCACCAAGGTATTTTGCCTACGCTTAAGTATTTAATAAGATAATTATCTTCTTCATTTGCATCTTTTGTCACGCGACAAACGTCACCGAAACGAGGAATTCCGAACGAACTATTGAAGGTCGTAAAGTTCCCGAGTTGTTGTGGCAGAGGATCTTTGTATAAACCTTAGTTGGGCACCCCCTTCCCTCCCTCCCGGGGGGTAGACTGTCCACATCCTCTCTATTTTGCGACGCACGCGAAGGGAAAAGAGTGCGCGAAAGCACCTCGGGCTGAAGGCGGGGACTGCGAAGGATGCGAGCCAAGCGAGCCAAGCACCCACTCCCTACCTCTTCAAGTCTCCTGTTTTGTGCTGTCGTCCGGTTCTGACGCGACTCTATCCGGGGGGGATGGGGGCGGGGACGAAGGCTTTTGTAACTCGTCCAATATGTCTTTGTATCATTGTTATACTTGGTGCAATCTTTGTTGTAACTGTTTTCTAGGTTCTACCCAAGATGAGATCAACTACTTGGCGTCAAACATGGAGGTGCGCTACGATGTCCTCAGCAACCTTCTTCCGATTCCAAACGGATCCTTCCCTACTTTCTTGTCACAGATTACTCTCACTAACAAGGGAAGTCTCCCCATACGACACGGAAATTGGGCTGTGTACTTCTGTAACATCAGGCTTGTTGAACCAGAACACTTGAAACACAACCCCACTGGGTACGTTATCCCGGGGAATTACGGGATCAAATTCACCCACATCAACGGATGCATTCACAAGTTCGAGACAACGAGTGATTTCAAAGAAATAGCTGCAGGCGATTCTTTCACGTTCAAGTTCAAGGCAGACCATTGGTCNAGCAACATTGTTCAATTTTGTAGGTGATTATGTCCCAGGCCACTCACTTGTATTTCGACCACCCGTACGAGCCTGACCCAGAGGAGCGTGGTTTCTACTGGGCCACAAGGTTTACTGACACTCAAAAAGTGTTTGGTTTCATGCCAGATGATTTGTTTGCCAATGTTGAGACCAAACAAAGTGGTGAACCACTGACCAGGGAAGAACTGTGTTCTGATCCCGGAATGTGCGCTAACTTGACGAAGAAGGAGAATATTGTAGGTAAGAGATGGGCTTGAATGACGATTGAAATGTTTAGGCTAAATTTGGTAAATTTAGTGCCTCCAATTAGCGCATACCAGTGCGAAATATACCATTACCCTTAGCCAGACCAGACCGCAGACTGACTGTGAACCATTAGGCGCCCGCTCCTCCGATTTGCAAACTTAGCGAGACTTCAGGTTGATCTCTATATTTCCTATCTTGCTTCGTTAGGAATGCAAGGTCACCTATGGTCAGAAACAGTACGCACCGCTGACCAAATGAGCGCCATGATCTTTCCTCGCATGATAGCAATGGCTGAACGCGCATGGCATAGAGCATCATGGGAAGACATCACTAATAAGAAAGAGAGAGACACCAAGAGGACGGACGACTGGGTGAAGTTTGCGAACACACTGGGCTACAGGGAACTGGGGCGACTGGACGAAATGGGCGTAGCGTATCACGTGGCACCACCTGGAGCGCGGTGAGATAATCCCATCTAGTGATAACTTCCAAACTTCTCTCTACGTTTTGGTAGACAAATTCAAGAAAACAATATGAGAAACAAGTTCCTAATCATTTCATGCAGGCGATACTTTTTGATTTAAGACTAAATTACCTCGAGAAGAACACTCTAGAAAATGTAGAGAAACCCCCAACAGTGTGGTGAATTTTGATAGAGCAACTCAGTCGGGAGCCTGCCATTGCGTCTTGAACCAGAAATCCTGACTCTAGCTTACAAGGGAGAAGACACAATAAGTTGATTATCTTTTACAAAATACGAACTTATTTCCCGTTGGGTAGCAGGGTTGGCTGAGTAGTGAGAGCACTCGCCCCCCACCAATGTGGTCTGGGTTCGATTCCGGCCCGGTGTCATATGTAGGTTGAGTTTGTTGTTGGTTCTCGCCTTGCTCCGAGGGTTTTTCTCCATGTACCCCTGTTTTCTTCCATCCACAAAACCCAGCATCTGTAAATTCCAATTCTACCAGGAAGGGGATGCATGAAAACTAGCAAAGGCTGGCGTGGCTTCCTTTCCAAATATTGTTATTAATTAATTAATTAATTAATTAATTTATTTATTTATTTATTATTTACTTGGTTAGGTTGATTGACGTTTGTGAAGCCTTTCCATGGTCAATCTCACTGATACATTTTCATTTCTCTGCAGTATTGATGAAGGTGTGCTAAAAATCGCTAATGTGTTCCCAGGACTTAAGTTCCAGTATTCTACTGATCTTAAAACGTGGAAAAATGTTGAGGATGTGTCGGATTTGGAAGGGAAAATTATGCTGCGAACCAGGTCAGAAAATTCAATGTTGTTTTCATTTTAACTGTTGTTGTTGTTGTAGTC